CCCCGCTGCGCTCTCCCGTAGTATGTGGCAGGAGAGGTGTCCCCAGTGTCCTGCCTGCCAGGGCCAGCAGCCAAGCGCAGGGCTGGTGCTGGCTGTGCCTGATCCCTCTCCTGTTTCGCATGCGCTGGCTGCACCCCGCTGCGATCGCAGGCTGGTGACCCTGCGGGGTCCTGCACCCCCGCGGTGCCACCACTGTCCCTTCATGCACGCTGCCAGTGCTCAGCAGAGCATGGGTCCTGTCACTCCTGTCACTGTCCCCTTCCCTGGAGCAGGGGGACCCAGCACCCTGCAGGAAGAGCCCACGTCCCCATCCCCAGCCCAGGTCCCTGCTCCCCCGCTGCGATGCCTGCTCCTGCAGCCCGGTCCAGCTCCAGGAGAGGCTGCGCCGAGAGCCCGTTCTGCAAGGACGCTTGGGTCCCCCGAGCCATGGGGCTCAACACCAGCTCTGGCCAAGGGGAGTAAATCAGAAAGCCCGGCCAGCACGCCAAGACCGTTCCCACGACGGAGTGATGGAGGGGCAGATAAAGTCCTTCAGAGTCCGGCCACCGGCCGGGAGCAGCAGGGACGTGCACAGGGGTGCATGGGAAGGGCCAAGCTTCACAGCTGGGGTCTGGTGCTGGGGGGATGCAGTGCAGAGGGGTGGGAGCACAGAGGCAAGGACCTGGGGCTAGGGACAGGGAGCCATGGGTCTTTGTCCCCCTCCACTGCTGGAAGCTGGGACCCAAGGTGCTGGGCTGAGCACAGAGTCCTGCTGGCACCTTTGCACGGAGCCGTGCCCGGGGTAGGGATGGGCCATGCCCAGACTCTTCCCACCACCCACCGTGGAGTATTTGGGGATAAATGAAGATAGAGGGGAAGGTGCCTTAAGACTCTGTGTTAGCTTTTATCCCATCCTGGAAGGTTCTAATTTATTGCATGTTTCCATGTAATTAAAGATCCGGGGTAGGCAGATGCCTGTCTCATGGAGTCCCTGAACCATGCTGGGACATCCCAAGCCGCCCTGGGACATCCCTGGTGCTCCCACTCCCACGGCTGGAGTTCCCCGGGTTGGGCTTTGCTGGGGACGTCTCAGCTCTGACTTTTTAATGGCAGGTGACACCAAGTGGCAGAATTGTGCACGGGCGCTGTGCACGGTGTGGGTGTCATGCATGGGGTGGGTCCTGTGCATGGGTTGGGTGCTGTGCACGGTCTGGATGCTCTGTACACCGTGGATGCTGTGTGCAGTGCGGGTGCTGTGCACACGGTGGGTGCTGTGCGTGGGGTGAGTGCTGCGCATAGCACCCAGCACAGGGGACAGCTAAGCACCAGGACTGCCCAGGGGGCACGGGGTGGCTGCTGGCCCCAGGGAGGTGCAGCCAAGCCACAGGACTGCCCAGGGAGCACGGGGTGGCTGCTGGCCCCAGGGAGGGGGCGG